AAAATCAAAATCGGTTTTTAGCATTATTTGTGTTTCACATGTTCGACGTTACTTACCGCAGTCCTATATACTGACGTTATTCCTTCGCAGTTCTGACCTTGATTTTCGTGCCAGGAGTAGTCAGGGTATCCAGAGATTTTGCCCTTCTCGTCCACTGTGCCCAGAGTTACGGGACGACCTTCGCTGAAGCGAGTTGTCGTTACAAAAATTCGTGGCGATAGAGAGTCTGAAATTGGATAAAGTGTTTAAACTGGTTGTTCTTGAAGTCGTCTTCACAAAGTCACAAATTCATTGATTTCGGTTGTTATTCGAAATTTTCCATTTAATTTTTAATTTAATTTCCGGTTGTTATTCCTGAGTGTCTCTCGAACGATTTAAATATTACATCGCGTCACTAAATTGGTCCGTACACAAACACGCTAACGCTGGGTAATAATATGGCGCTACCGTCTAAGTGGAAAAGACACGGAACTAAAACCGAGCGTAGAATGTAACATTTTCGTAACGAAAATGGTCTACACACGAGCAAGTGTTCTTATTGAATTTCCGCAGCGCAGCGATCTCTGTGAAACTGTAGGTTTATTTACTTTGATGACTTATTATAAAGTTAAATTATTTATCAAGTAAATTGTACAATTAGGAAACTAAAATCAGCAAATTCCGTACTTGTTCCCATTATTACCTATGCTGTAACCTTTGTTTTGACAAACGTAATATTTCGGCACTTCTTAAGTTGTCGACTATCACTCCTTTTTATGGGTGCGGACAGAGATAATGTCAACAATTACAGGCCTATATCGGTACCTATTGCCAGTGATATCTAAAATTCTGGAAAAATTACTCAATAAAAAATAACTAAAATATTTAATAAAAACAATATATTACCTGTAAACTAATTAGGTTTTCGACATGGAAAATTTGCGGAGGATACAGTAATATCGCTGAGTTCTCTAGTTACAGAACAGTTTGACAAACGTAAGAAATATTTGTCAGTATTTTCGGACTTAAGAAAACGTTTGATACCGCCTCTCTCTCCATACTAGTACACAAATTAGAAAAGATAGGTATAAGCAGTACTTCACTTTGTACATATCACTGATTATTTGACAAATGGGAAGCAAACAGTGAAACTAGATAACTTTAACAGTGGGTACGAAGTGATTTTATATTGCGTGCCCCAAGGTAGCGTTCTTGGTCATATAAATGACCTATGTGATATTCAGATCAAGAACGCTAATATCTTCTCTTATGCTGCTGATACGGGCATTGTATTCACTGATAATCTTGGGATGCTCTGAAGTGTAGTGTGGAACGGGGACCGGAGCGTGTAAACAGATGGTGAAGTAACAATTATTTTACGTCAAATACTAATAAACAAACGACATCTGTTTTAGTGCAAATAATGACACTCAGCCGAAAAATAAGTTTTACGTAAAGATTCACAATTGAAAACCCACAGGTAACGCTCGTAACTGAACATTTTATAATAAAAGTTGCACAATCAAAGTATTTGGGTGTTTTTGTGGACCAGCGACTCTGTTGGTATCCACACCTGTCATGCCATTAAAAGAGTAAGAAAACTTAATTGGATTTATAAAATACTAAGCTATGTAGTGCCAGGATCAGTTGCTGGTCTGCAAAATTCGTCTAGGAATTTAAGGAAATATACGTGAGTTTGGTTCAATTAGTATTGATTGATGTATTCCTGTATCACCCCATACAGGAATACATCAACCGATACTGATTGAACCGCTAAAACTCGTTTTCTTGAGTTGGAACGCGCAACGCAATTCGATTAAAATAATGTATTTAAAAAAAAAGAATATTTTTTCACTAGCAGCTTGTATGAACTATAACTATACATCACTCAATCTGTACTCACACAACATAAGTCTCTAAAATATGATCTAAATATTCCGAAGAGGAAAAGGAAAGACACTGTGGTACAAGTATCCAAAGTAAATACAACATTTGTAAACAGATAATTCAACAAGCGATCGGCCTGTACAATTCGATTCATAAGGAATTAGAAACATACGCCAAAACTTATTGAGGCTGCAAGAAACTTATCTCAAAATGGTAACAGTCCAAATCGTACAAGGAAACGAAGATGTAACGGAACACTTGGTTTAAAAACACTAATCTTTTCGTCTATGGCAACAGGTTAAACATACACGTGCTCGCATGCACGCCTGAACGCCTGCCCCCTCCCACACACGTACGCACGCATGCACGCACGCACTCACACACACACACGCACGCACGCACGCACGAACGCACGCAAGCACGCACGCGCGTACGCACGCAAGCACCGTTGAAGATTCAAATTAAATTTTAAATTCTAATCTAACTTCGAAGTTAAGAATTGTTCATTTTGAAATTGTTTGGAAATGCAAAAAATTAAATTTAAATTAAACACCAAAATTGCAAGTTACAATATTAAATGTGTATTTATAGCTATGGAAGAGTGTTACCTCTTGGCATAGGCTTGATAAGCTTAATAGGAGGCTACCATCCACTGTTAGTGTAAAGTTAATTGTATTACTGAAATAAAGATTTATTATTCTTATTTTAAGTAAAACTCTAGCAAATAGACAGAGCACATTGTCCGATTTGTTTACCTTTCAAGTGACGCGTTCTAAGTTGACAAGTAATGTATTTGCGTGGACATGGTCTTTTAATAATATTTATACATGGTTTTAGGGTCTTCAATAGCTTAATATAAATAAAATAATGTTTTTGTAGGCTGTGTATATGCTTCAATTAAATAAAGTTATTCAATGAATAAATAAGTCCACTTGTTTGTGACTCACCCTTTCTATACTGCACATCTACGTCAATAGGTATTGACTTCCCCGGCACATAATGCTGTTTGGTCATAGCAATCTGCTTGGTTTCTTCATCAGGGAAGACGAATTCCATCTCAGCCCATTGATTAACCATCCTTAGGTTGCTTTCGGCGCCAAGTTCTGGCCAGAAGCACGCCAGGCAGAAGAAAAATATCTGGAATCCGTAAGACATCTCTGCCTCGAACCTGTTGAGGAAAAAACAAATTTTGCTGTCAATCCAGTTTATAAGCAATTATTACAATTTGTTTTTACTTTTATAAAATCAACCTGAGTTTAATAAATATCAAACACAATCGATTAATGTGTGCACACGCCGTATACGGACACACACGTTAGCATAATCTCGCGGTACACTCGTGTTGCATAACGCTAGTCGTCTCACGCGCCATTTATTATAGAATCAAAGCAATCGTTCGGTGTTTAAAAAAATACATCCAATACTAGACATGTTCATTGCTGTGTTTGTGGTAGTTTGAAAAACAGTCACCGATGTTAATTATTTGTCAAAGAGGACTGCATTTGCGTCCGCCATCTTGAATCTTTCAGTCAGTCACTCAATCAGTGTAACACAGCGTGTATAACCGCTCACGCGATGCGCTCCTCCTACAGCAAAATGGCGGCTATTTGGTTTCGCAAAATAGAAAAGGATTCAGTTTAAATACAAGTTTTTATAATTAAAAATTTTTACTTTGCATTGCTAAATAAATACCCTCTGTACTAACAACAAAAACATCTCAAATAAAAATGCAGTAATAAACCGCAAATCCTGCACTTAAAAAGCACTAATGAAATTTTTGGTGTACTTGGATAAATATGATAATATTCCGTTTGAATGGTTCTAACGTTTACCATGAAATTACTTCTTAAATTATTATATTCAGGGTAAACTTAAAAAACGCTACTTACGGTATGTTTTCAATAAATAAACACCGAAATCACCAGCCCAAAGAACACACACGATTGTCGTGACGTATTTTTGAAGGTGTTTATGTTTTTTAAATGACATTTATGGTTTGCTAGAGTAGTTACCGAAATAGCAATTAAAATTAGTTCTTTTACTTTAACTTCGATATCCGATAAATCGGTATAAAATCATCACCGGCACCTCTAGGTGTGGTATGCGTCTACGGCTGCATGTATCGCGTGAGCGTGTATGCAATGCCGCATACATGGATATCGTTTTGTCGCATATAAAATCCAAAAATTCAGAGGTACGAGTCCGGATTCTAATTCGAAGTTGAAGTGCGATAGCGAATCGGTTTGACTGGCCTCCCAGAAGCGGGTCTCACCAGTTAAATTGAGGAGGCGCATATATCGTGCAGAGATATCCGGGACACTAAGTACAAGATACCAGTACGAAGTTTTTGCATCTATTTTACAGTGACTTTATTGCATTATTGTTTATACCTGGACAATGTCTTCGGCCAAGAATGAGTTACTTGAACTCCAATCTATGCTCATTCTCGAGCTTGAAAAGCTGCATAGCAATTTTACGAAAGATCCTAAGATAAGAAAAACTGAAGATTACATTAAGAAGAGATTAGAGACGTTAGATGGAGTTTGGGAAAAATTTAAAGACAACAACACAATATTGGAAACAGACAAAGATAGGACACATGAATATTTCACAAAGGATGTGTTTGCGGCATATCAAAATTATTATAAAAGGACTCGTGATATGATAATGGAATATGGGAAACCGAACGGAAGAAACAAGCAAGACGAAAAAATTCAAGTAGACCTGGAAAAAGTTCAAGACTATTTAACTTTGCAAAGAACAAACTTCAGAGCGTTTTGTAGAGTCACAGACAATATTGATATTGACTCTATCCATGAGAAATGGGAGTTGGAATACGAGCTGAAAAATTTACGAATTCGCTGGAACAACATTGAAGATTTACATTTGAACATTGACAACATTCTAGACGGAACTGATGCGGAATATCAACATCAATATATAGAACTGGAAACTTTATTCAGATCTATGAATAAAGCCTTAAATAAGAAGCTGTCTTCTACCGTTCATTTGCATCTTTCTACCCCCAAGATTGATATTCCTACCTTTTCTGGCAATTATACTCGGTGGAATACATTTTTAGATTTATTCAAGGAAGCAGTGCATAACATCCCGCTTTGAACAAAGTACAAAAAATGCAACATCTCAAAGGCAAGCTAAGGGGCGAAGCGGAGCGGCTCATACAACATTTGCATATTTCATCTGACAATTATGACTCTGCCTGGAAGATATTAAATCATCGGTACGATAACCGTCAAGTACTTTTCACCAAACAGATGGAAACCCTACTCAATCAACCTAACGTTCAAAAACAAAGTTCCATGGAACTGAGACGACTTCATGACACTTCTATGGAGTGCATACATGGTATATACAACATGGGTATCGACACTTCGTCTTGGGATCCGGTATTTGTGCACTTAATTGCAAAGAAATTAGACACCGTGACGTTCAGCGATTATATGGAGGCAAGAAAATCACCACGCGATGTACCAGACTTGGACGAATTCATGAAATTTTTGGAAGCAAAATTTATTGCATTGGAGCCGATGAATAAAAAAGAAAAGGAATCGGTATCAAAATGTTCATTCAAGACAAATTTTGCACCGAAGTTCAAGCAAACCTACAATTCTAACAAACCTGCATTTGAGAAGCGAAACACTTCATACAATAAAACATTTCATGTTTACTCCAAACCTGCAATTACATGTCCTATTTGCAATAAAAATCATAGAATATATCAATGCAAAATATTTGTGAATATGACACCGGACGCAAAACTTCAAGCCGTTTCAAAATCAAACATTTGTAAAAATTGTTTATATGTGCATAAATATAGCTGCAATTCCGAGAAACGCTGCAAAGACTGCAATATGCCACATAATACTTTATTACGTGAGGCAATTACTGCAATGAATAAGGGAGCATCGACCTCGAACAAACAAAATTCCCTGCAGAACGTGCATGCTAATCACGTGGCCGGTGATGATGACGAAATATTACTTGCAACAATTCAAATGCAATTACGGGCGGCGGATGGTACTTACACCACCATGCGCGCACTTCTCGACCAAGGTTCGCAAACAACCCTCATAACAGAGAATGCAGCACAAATACTAGGGTTGAAACGACATAACATACATGCATCTGTATCTGGTATAGGTACCTCCCCTAACAAGTGCAAAGGAAAAGTCGAACTGCATTGCAAATCACTCTTCAACAATTATGAATTCACCACCGAAGCATTAGTAATGACAAAAGTCATTAACCGTTTGCCAAGTATGACTTTTAAGAAAAAACCGTACGCGCACATCCAACATCTTCAGCTTGCAGATCCGGACTACAATATAGCAAGGCCGATTGATATTCTATTGGATGCAAAAGCCTACGCAGAAATCATTATGGATGGGCTGTTAAAGAGTTCAACCGATCAACCAATAGCACAACAGACGCAGATGGGCTGGATTTTGTCTGGTTCAATAACAAAATCATTCAACTGTCATGTGGTGATCAATAACATCGAAGATATCAGCAATTATTGGGAGTTGGAGGATATCACAGAGACAAAAAGACAGTTAACTAAGGATGAACAATTCTGCGAAGACTACTACACCAAAACGACACGTCGCTTAACAAATGGGACATATGAAGTGAGATTGCCTATGAAAGAAGGCTTTGAAAAGCAATTAGGCCAATCGAAGCCTACGGCCGTTGCACAATACATGCAATTAGAGCGCAAGCTAGCGAAGAACCCACAGCTAAACGAAAGTTATCATGCATTTATAAAGGAATACGTTGCCATGCACCATATGAAAATCTGTACAGATAAAAGAAGTACAGAATGCTATCTTCCACACCACGGAGTGTTAAAAGAAGATTCTACCACCACAAAATTACGAACCGTTTTTAATGCATCGCAACTAACATCGTCTGGCTATAGCTTAAATGATTTGATGGAGTGCGGTCCTAAGTTGCAATCCGATCTGCAGCTATTGTTATTGAGTTGGCGAGGTTACAAATATGTTTACACAACGGACTGCGAAAAGATGTACCGTATGATTTGGCTCCATGAGGAGGACCAACACCTCCAAAAGATCATCTGGAGAGATCAACACAATATTCTCAGAGAATATCAACTTTGCACTGTAACATATGGTATGAAAGCGGCCCCTTTTCTCGCTATTCGAACATTGCAACAATTGGCAAACGATGACGCATCATTGTATCCGTTAGCAGCTGACGTTCTGAAAAATAAATTTTATGTGGATGATCTTTTACATGGTAACAACAGCATAGAAGAGGCAAAACAAGTCCAACGACAGCTCATCAACATGCTACGCGGAGCTGGTTTAAATTTGAGAAAGTGGTCCAGCAATGAACCGAGCCTCCTTGCTGATTTAACTCAAGATCAAATCAGTTACAAGAGTGTCAACTTCAACGAATCTACATCAACAAAAGCTCTAGGCCTGCATTGGCACCCCCTTTGCATTTGAGAGCAAAATCAATCAAATTGCAAAGCAAGACACCAAGCGAACAATGCTGTCGGATATTTCAAAGTTAAATGACCCACTTGACTGGCTTGCTCCAATTACAATAAAGGCGAAAATAATGTTTCAACGACTATGGACCAATAATACACACTGGGACGAACAATTGTCTCGTGATATGCAACACGAATGGAATCAATTGCGCGAAGAATTGAAAAACATCAATTCAATAAGAATTCCAAGATGGATTGGTGATCTTGAAAAGGGTTGGCAACTTCATGGGTTTTCCGATGCATCTGAGAAAGCATATGCTGCTTGTGTTTATGCAAAAACATTTGACGGGAACGGAAAACCAATAGTCCGTCTCATTGCAGCGGAGACAAAATTGGCACCACAAAAAACAAAAGCCACACTCCCACGTTTAGAATTGTGTGATGCTGTCTTGTTATCAAAATTGATGAACAAAATTATTGATTCATTGCAGACACGTGACAACATACAAATACATGGGTGGACTGACTCAATGGTGGTATTGGGGTGGATACATGGTGACACTGCAAAGTGGAAGACATACGTTGCAAATAGAGTGAACGAGATTAAGAAAATTATGCCGCCAACATGTTGGAATTACGTCAAATCAGACCTGAATCCCGCCGACTGCGCCACGCGTGGACTGACACCGACCCAGCTGAAGTGCCACCGTCTCTGGTGGGAGGGACCGCCGTCGCTTATTGAGAACCTACAACCATCTCAATACACATACGAACTGCCAGAGGTTGAAATTAAAGTGAAGAAACATATCTGCACGGTACAAATTAAAACTTCACCCCTTATAAGTGAACTTATAAATAAATGCAGTTCACTGTCTCGGGCGGTGCGCGTCATATGTTGGGTGTCGCGTTTCATAACAAACGCACGCGGTCGATCGGATAACAATGAACTTACAAACGCGTCCTTTCTAACAGCGATGGAAATTGGAAATGCTACGAAGATCATAATAAAATCAGTGCAAGCGGAGGTGTTCTCAAAAGAAATTGAAAACATAAGAGACAAAGGGCATGTCTCTCGGAAAAGTTGCATTGCAAATTTGAATCCCTTTTTGATTACAGAGGGCATCCTGCGAATGAAAGGAAGATCACATTTTTGAGGGAGGGCGCCACCGTCCACGATATAACATCGATCCAGTACATATCGTCTCCGTAAAATCTTTAGTTACAAATTTTTAGTTACCTACAAGGAGTAAATCTTATTTAATATATATAATTTAATAAATATGAGAACAACGCCATCTATGGGCGAGTACTAACCAAGATAAACAATACAATTTTTTTGCCACCTGAGGCGCCAGTAGTCGTATCGTCAAATTGGTTCGTCTACTCACCGCCACTCAGCGCTAAACATGGCATCAGCTCAGGTACCTGGCTATCTTATTCACAGTACTCCACTTAGCCACAACCAAGAAAACAATGTTACGCAACGGATGAAACGAAATGATAAATGTAATTTACCCACCAGCAATTCATTTGAATTATTGTCGAACAATGATGATGGAGAAGAAGATTCGATTCAATCAAACTCATCCACCGCTCTCTCATACTCATCTCTACCCAATATATCCACACTACGCAAAAACGTGAGTTGCCCGGCGCTACAACTGAACAACGACATAATTGAGGATTTAAAAGAAAGAATCCGGATACTTGAAGCTAAATTAGAAACAACTGAAAATGAGCTACATAACCAACTATCAGAAAATCATGCATTAGAAAATAAAATTTCAATGTATGAACGCAAAATCGCCAAATTGTCACATATTTGCCAACCAACGCACAAATCTAGGTGCACGAGTTCCAAATCCAAACCGAGAGTTCACAATAAAACCGGATTTAACTTCTCTAAACAAAACCCGGATAACAGTGAGGATGCTATCTCGATGCCTAGCAAAAAAGTAAAGGAAAACAAAAGGATCAATGGATCCCGTACAAGCTCCCGTAACCAAACTCACGCACCATTGAGTATTACGGGGAATCCCAACATAAATAAGACTGATTCACTTACCACTAACCTTAAGGACAATATATGTGTTCTAAGCTCTAATAATTATGATAAAACCCTCTCTACATTCGAAGATATGCTGTCCGAACAATATAACATTATACATTACCTTAAATCGAACTGTGGAATAAAAGAACTCTTATGCGATATTGAATCAAAGGTGATTAACTACACATATAAAGACTACTGCGTGATATTAATCGGAGATGAGGATTTCATAAGCTCTTTAAGACCACTTTAAGTTAATCATATATATTAAAGAAGCAGTACAGAAAATTCAACATACCAATATCATTTTATGTCTACCAACCTATAGACTTAATAAGCACATCTTTAATGGGCGACTAGAGAGCTTCGGCACAATGTTGTACTGGGACCCAGAGATACATGATTATGCATACATGTTTGACACGAATCTAAACCTTGAGTATAACCATCATATGTTTCGCCCATACTCTGGTTATATTAAATCCAAAGCATTGCGTACTATTTCCGAAGATTTAAAGCGATTGATGCTAACCATCAATGAACGCCACCTATCTCATTCGTGTGGCTACCCCACCTGCAATGACATCACGTTTTTTCGTCAAGATATATTCGTAACCACAGACGATGGCACAAGGAAAAAAAGTACAAAGTAACGATTTTTTACCAAAATGTAAGAGGGATAAAATCCAAGACTGTGAGTATAAAGAACGCCCTAGCTCAGTTTCAAAATCCTATTATAGCATTCACAGGAACAAATCTAGATGATAGTGTATTTGATGCCGAAATATTTCCGAATAATTACGCTGTTCTGCGGCGGGACAGAGCCACCGTGACAGGGGGCGGAGGTGTGCTGCTTGCAGTACGCCAACCGTATAGTGTTCAACGCATTGTCTGTAGCTGCGCACCGGAAGACGAAATTATTGTTGGATTAGTGCACAAAGGAAGCTGGCGCGTTATTTGCTGTGTAGTTTATTTACCATGTAAAATACCAGACAATCGCTATTTTAGCATGTTTGCATGTTTAGAGTCGTTGTTTTCAAAAAAATTGCCCATTGTAATTATTGGTGATTTTAATTTATATTCAGCTTCACAGAATGTAAGGGACGCGTATGATTTATTCAATTCATCATGCGATTTATTGCAACATAATACTGTGGTCAATGGTCTTGGTCGTATTCTTGATTTAGTGGTCTCAAAATCAGAACAACTTATTCTCAACGTCACGGAGTCGGAGATGGGCCTGGTTGCACACGAGGTCCATCATGTGCCACTAGATAAAGCAGTCACTATGAACAAATTCCCATGTGTGGGATCGGGCAAACACATAAACAATAACGACGGAAACACGCTTCATTTTGAGAGACCTTTCGTTTATATATGTTCGTATGTGTTTCGTCTGGTACGGGGAATAATATACAACCCATTTTTGCTGTCCAGGGTAGGCTTTATGGTACCTAGAACTAATCTGGTGCGACTTCATAGAATGAGGTTATTTGCTGTACCTACCACACGATGTAGAGTGAGTGAGATGGCCCCCCTGCCCCGTGCACTTAGGTATCTAAATCAGTTGCTTAACTTCGACTCCTCATTGGACCTCTTTGCATGCTCAGAAACAAAATTCATATTTTCCGCAGGACGCTATCTGGAGTCCTTGACCGGAGACAGTAGTATTAAATGTTAGTTTAAAATGTAATTACAAATGGTTTTTATCTTTTTTTTGTCATTAATGTTACACTGTAATAATTTATAGTTTATGGCATTGTATTTATAATTTTATCAATTTTCATATTTTATTCACTTTTGTAATTGACTTAAGATTGATTGTACATTTAGCTTTAAGTCTTACTATTGCGTTTGGGTTGACTGTAAGCAATATGTAATAAATAAATAAATAAATAAATACAGAGATCAAATCTCGACATTGATACAAGCAGCCGATTATAATTCCATATCATGCAAGATTCACGGAATTACTTATTGCAGAAGCACACCAAACTACATTGCACGGTGGTGTTAAACTTACCCTAGCGCATGTCCGGAAGAAGTATTGGATTATAAGCGGGAATCGGGCTATAAAGAAAGTACTGCGTCAATGTACTAAATGCATACGTTTCAGTGCACAGAAACAAGCACAGCTGATGGGAGATTTACCGTCACCACGAGTACGCATTTCACGTCCTTTTACACATACATAGATTTCACCGGCCACGTTGACGTCAAAGCCAATAAAGGACGTGGGATTAAAACAAACAAAGGCTACATTGCAGTGTTTATATGTCTAACGATAAAGGCTATTCACCTCGAACTCGTGTCCGATCTCAGCACCTCAGCATTTTTTGCCGCATTTACAAGAATGTGTGCCAGGCGCGGCACGCCACAACACATGTATAGTGACAACGGCACTAACTTCGTCGGTGCCGCTCGGGTGCTCACGACAGAATACAAACAAGCTTTGCAAGTTATCAACACGGATTTCCTGGATCACGTCAACAAACTTGGGGTCAATTGGCACTTCAACGTACCTACCTGAAGCAGTGCTGGTGGACTCTGGGAAGCAGCTGTGAAGAGTCTAAAACATCACTTGAAGCGTGTAATAGGCGATCAAAAATTGACCTTCGAGGAATATTCGACATTACTTGCACAAATTGAAGCGTGCCTTAACTCTAGACCTCTCTGTTCATTGACCGAGGATCCAGAAGACATGCATTATTTGTCACCTGGTCACTTTCTAGTTGGTGGTCCTCTTTTATCAGAGCCACTCTCTGACATCAACATCGACAATATGAAAACCAGGTGGCAGATGACTCAGAAGATGTACAAGGAGTTTTGGAAAAAGTGGTCATCCGATTATCTTCACACATTGCAGACAAGATGTAAGTGGCATCTACCGACGAAGAACATTGAAATTGACGGCGTAGTATTGGTGAAAGACGATAACCTGCCGCCCTCGAAATGGGCCCTTG